AAAAAAACATTTGTAGCCTTAAAATACATGAAATTAGAAAGAGACATTATTCCTCAAGAATTTGAGAAGCCTAAAGGAAAAAATGACTTAAAATACATTATCCTGAAACAAATACAATACATTATCCTGTTCATAGTAGTCTTAAGACAACTTATATGTAAAGTGTGGTTTAAAAAAAAAAACACAGTAAACTCACTATTCTGTGTTTCCGTCACTGGGATCACTCATCAGAGTCTTTGTTCTCTGAGTCAGGTAAAATTCTCTTCACCTGCCTTTTAACAGCGTAAAATATTTGGAAAAATAAAATGAAAACTTGTGCTTTTTTAGGAATATATTATTTTACTACAGATGTAGGGTAATTTCTTTTTACTTTTAAATGTTGGCATATGCAAATACTTGTAATTTACTTTACTTAAAAATTAGAACTACTGACTTTTACTTTCTCATCTCAGCTGAAATAGGAGATTATGATGAAACGCTGGATCGAGAGCACCTCAAAGCCAATGAGTATTTGCCCAGCCAGGAGCGCTCTCTCGAGAAGATACTAGAATTCCACCAGAAGCATGTGTAAGTTGGTCAGAATGGCTGTGGGTACATTGCTCCTAATTACTGGTTATACAATAATGACTAAACACTGTAACCAAAGAGAGCCACCCTAAAGCTTCTCTAAGGTTCTGACAAACATGAGGACCTGCAAACTGTTCCTCCCGGAGATGGCTGGGCCCACACAGAGAGGTCACATCCTCACAGCTGCCAAGTGTGCTGCTTTAGGAGAGGCTGGTAGAGACCCTAAGTCCTGGAGAGAAGGATGTTCACAAGTGGGATGTGGTGTCCTGGCCTGGGCAGGTGTGCAGCTGTGTCTTTGCAGTGTGGCAGGACAGTCCTCTATAGGCAAGCAGCCTGTATGTGGTGGAGAAGGCAGCGAATGCCATCTGCCTGTGTTGGGTGCTGCAGCCACATTTTTTGATCCACCATATTCTGATCTCTCCAGGACCTTGACACTGGTATGTTTTTCTGGATTAAAGTAAAGGGGACCTGGAGCAAGTGTGCTGGGGAAGAGGGATGGAAAGATGCCAGTGGGAAGAGCTATAGGCTGTGGCAAAAGGGCTGGGAGCTTTTGTCACCAGGGAGAGCTCACTTGGAGACAGTCACTCTGCGATTCAGCCCTGCCTTTAGGAGGGAGCCTGTTCAGACTCAAGTTTATTTTGTCAGATGGTGTAAGGCAGTTAAAGCTGTACTGGAATCTACTGATAACTGCTCTTTTGTACCTACAATGAAGTTTGAGTGCCACTGCACATCAGTGACTGTAATTGTAGCATTTGCAGGCTAGTTGGAACAGCCCAGACCAAGACTCCGACCTTGGGGCTTTTCCTACTCAACAGCACCTGGGCAAAGAGTGCCTTCCGTGCACCTGGCTCTGTAGCTGACACGGGAAACACAAGTATGTCCCTGCAAATGAGAATATTGATGTGTAGAAAAAGAGCATGGCCCACACACTGTGAGCCAAAACAACAGGTAGCACCTCCCTACTTGGGGGAGGGGGTGAGGACACAGGAGGGAGAAAGAGGGTCCTGGGGCAGACTTGGGCACTAAGGTAGGGAGGAGGGGATGGCGTGCTGGGCAAAGCACCCTCCTGGGAGGGGAAGGAGGCTCCACCTGAACCTGACAGATCAGTTCAGGGCAGTGGTGGTGATAGCTGATGCCACAGGTACAGTGGTGGTGATGGCAGGCAGACCTTACGAGCATTTGCATGTGACCTTTAACCCCCACCCTCATGTGGCATGTGCAGAGAAAGATTGCATGTGGGGAGCCCTATCCTGGACACCACTCTAGGGCACCTGTGAGTCCACATACCTGGTCTGATCTTAAGGAAGCTGCCATCTCAGTGCATGTTAGAGCTGTAGCTACATGTTCCTGGATGTCCTTGGCTTAGCCTCTTTCCCCAACAACACCATTATTCTGGCTGGTAGCAAGGAAGGTAGGGCTGTTCTGAGTGTCACATCCAGACTCTAAGGACCTGGACAAAGGGTCCTCTCTGTGTCAGCCTGAGTTACAGGCCCCTTCTTCCAGGAGGGTCACTGGTTCAGGATTTATTCCTGGATCTGGGGAGAGGTCCTTCCCTGCTGAGACACAGAGTGGGCTGGATGTGAGCACACATGGTTTAGGGACTATACTGGGAAGCATGTGACTGAGGTGACAGCCCCAGGGAACGGATGGATTTGGGATGCTAGGGAGAGCATTGTCTGCAGGTAGGCACACTCAGTGATGAGGTTAGCTACAGAGAGGGTGGATGCAGACAGGGAGGAGAGGTAAACCCTGGAGGAATCCCACAGAGCCAGCCTGAGAGACCGAGTAGAGGGGAAGTGCCCATGGAGCCCTGAACGGCCAGGAGTGTGGGGCACAGAGGTGCCAGGAGAGGGTTTTAGGGAAGCAGCCACAGCCCCTCAGGTTGAGGGTATATCAGCAGGCCTGGGAGGTAGGGACACAAGCATGTCTGTGAGCTTGGCAGCAAAGTGGTAGCTGTGGCTTTCAGCTTCAGTGAGTGCTGAGGGTGGATTCTGAGTTCAAGTGCAATGAAAGTGCAGTGAAGAAGTGTTACCTTGCGAAGTCCACCTGTGGAAGGGACCAAAGAGTTAGACCTCAGGGTACTTGTGTGTATACAGGTATGTTCCGGTATGTTTGTATGTACAAAAACATTTAACTGTGTTCAATGATGCCTTGTGCATGGGTTTGGGTGGCTTGTGTGTGCATGCATGTGCTTGTATGTGGGTTTTGTGCTGTGGTCATGTGTGTACACACTTGTGCCTGTGCATGTGTGTACCTCTATATGTATGCTATACATGTGCCTGCAAGTGTGTGTGTCTTAAAGAACATGCCCTAGATTCAGCGCCTGTGGCTCAAGTGGCTAAGGCGCCAGCCACATACACCTAAGCTGGCAGGTTCCAGTCCAGCCCAGGCCCACGAAACAACAATGACTGCACCCAAAAAATAGCTGGGCATTGTAAGTGCCTGTAGTCCCAGCTACTTGGGAGGCTGAGGCAGGAGAATCACTTGAGCCCAGGAGTTGGAGGTTGCTGCTGTGAGTTGGAATGCCACGGCACTCTACCCAGGGCAACAGCTCTGTCTCAAAAAATAAATAAAATAAAGAACATGCTCTAAAAATTCTAAAAAGCCAATAAGAGAAAGGTGGGTCAAGTGCTCTGCCCTATGCAGGGATAACGCTGGACCCTGAGGGAGCCAGGAAGCATGGCTGTGCGTCTCTAGCGCTTACTGTGTTAATACGCTGATTGTGTCTACCACAGCCTTCAAAGTCTTATTGTACAGCCTTTTCCTTTAATTATTATTTGGGTAGATTTTTTAAGACAATTGATATAGTTTAGATACATCCCCCCCCCCCAAATTTCATGTTGAAATTTGATCCCCAAGGTTGGAGGTGGGGCCTGGTGGGAGGTGTTTGGGTCCTAACAGATGGTGCCCTCCTGCAATGAGCAGTGAGTTCTTGTTGTGTTAGCTCATGAGAGAGCCATTATGTAAAAGAGGTTGGGAGGGTGGCACCCGTTGCTCAGTGGGTCGGGCTCTAGCCACAAACTCTGAGGCTGCCAGGTTCAAACCGGCCCTGGCCAGCCAAAATCAACAATGACAACTGCAACAACAACAACAAAAATAGCCAGGCTGGGCAGCACCTGTGGCTCAAAGGAGTAGGGCACCAGCCCCCATATGCCAGAGGTGGTGGGTTCAAACCCAGACCCAGCCAAAAAAACAAAATGGCCAGGCATTGTGGTGGGTTCCTGTAGTCCAAGCTACTTGGGAGGCTGAGGCAGGAGAATCCCTTAAGCCTAAGAATTTGAGGTTGCTGTGACATAGTGAAACTCTGTCTCAAAAATAAATATATATAAATAAAAGAGGGTGAGCACCTTCCCTTCACTTGCTCTACTCACACCACAGGACACACCTGCTCCCCTTCACCTTCCACATTGCTCAGAAGCTCCCTGAGTGCTGACCAGAAGCAGACACTGCTGCCCTATTTGTACAGATGCAGAGCCAGGAGCCACATAAGCCCCTTGTCTTTATGAGTTACTGGTTTTAGGTATTTTCTCTGTAGTGACACAGAACGGACTAACAATAACATTATATCTTATTTAGTCATAAATTTCTTAACACTGTTCAAGTCACTGAATAAGACGTTAAAGAAGTGTTTTTCTTGACTTTACTATATTTATTTTGGGTCTTTGAGATCGAAAAAAAAGATTTGAAAGTTGGCTATTCAAAATTGGAGGTGGCTCGGCACCTGTGGCTGGCCAGCCACATACACCTAAGGTGGCGGATTTGAATCCAGCCCGGGCCCACCAAACAACAATGACAGCTGCAACCATAAAATAGCCAGGTGCTGTGGCGGGTGCCTGTGGTCCCAGCTACTTGGGAGGCTGAAGCAGGAGACTCACTTGAGCCCAAGAGTTGGAGGTTGCTGTGAGTTGTGATGCCACAGCACTCTACCCAGGGGGACAGCTTGAGGCTCTGTCCCAAAAAAAAACAAAATTGGAGGTGCATAATGGTCACTGGTGTTTCTGTAGATGTACAAACTTAATGTGAAATAAATAGCTAAATATTATTTACTTGTCTTTTCAAATGGAGGTTTCCTAACTACTAAAGATTTCTGAAATATGTCCTAGGTTTCTGAAGGTACAAATTTTCTTCAGATTACTCACTCCTCTCCATAAGTGGATTATTGACCTATACATTAAAAGGTAGAAATCTATATTTAAAACAGACCATGCAAACACAGCCTCCTAATCCTTCTGAGAAGTTACCACAGGAATAACTGGCTTGTGGCAGCCAAGCGTTCATAGCAAGGTCACTTTTTGATCCTTCGATGTCGGCTTTTCCTATCATTGTGAAGCAGAATTCACCAGGTGTTGGATTATTCCCCCACTCATGGGGAACGTAAGCTGGGTTTAGACCGTTGTGAGACAGATTAGTTTTACCCTACTGATGATGTGTTGTTGCCATGGTAATCCTGCTCAGTATGAGAGGAACCGCACATTCAGACATTTGGTGTATGTGCTTGGCTGAGGACCCAGTGGGGCACAGCTACCATCTGTGGCAGGGGTCCTCAAACTTTTTAAACAGGGGGCCAGTTCACTGTCCCTCAGACCATTAGAGGGCCGGACTACCGGCCCCAGGATGAATCAACTGCTAAGCAGGACAGGCAGTGGCAGCAAAAACATCCGGCGGGCTGGATAAATGTCCTAGACGGGCTGCATGTGGCCCGCAGCCTGTAGTTTGAGGACACCTGATCTGTGGGATTATGACTGAACACCTCTAAGTCAGAATTCCACCTAGGTGGAACAATACAGCAGCACCGCAGGAGCCTCACTTGGCCTCAGATAGCTGGTGTCCTGCCATCTGGCACAGAGCTCCCCCCACTCATCCTGGGAAACATGGTGAGGCCAGAAAGACAGCTGCCCCTGAGCCACAGAGTAGCGCACCTCCGTGTGTGGACAGCCAGCTTCTACGTCAGGGCTCACTCCATAGGCATTAGAGAACTCTGTCGCTGGGATCTCTGGAAAGCCAGCCATGGACAGTTAGAAAGAAAGAAAGAAAAGTGAAGGAAAAGGAAAAGAAAGGAAAAAAAGCAAAAATCTTCACTGGTAGCTTTAAAAACAGGTATAACTTCCAGAATTAGAACTTCTTAGAAAGTGGTTATCCCTCCTACTAGATGTTCCTTCTTGTTGACAATGATGATTAAAATATGCGAGTGTCTATGTAGTATTCCAAAAATGGAAATTTTAGTTCAAGAATAGAAATCACGGGAACTACATAATCCAAATAGTTGCATTATTTCTTAAAGGTTCAAAACCTTAGGCATTTGGGTGGCACCTGGGGCTCAAGGAGTAGGGTGCTGGCCCCATACACCAGAGGTGGTGGGTTCAAACCCTGCCCTGGCCAAAAACTGCAACAACAACAAAAAAAAACCTTAGGCATTTGGAAGTAATTACAAAGGGAAGAAATGAACTGCATCCTTAAAATTACAAATAGGTCTTACAAATCACCTGGCATCTTGATGCAGCTGGACAGCTCTTAGATCTTACTCATCAGCCTACTGAACTATTCCTTTTTCAGAGACATAGGCACCATCCAAAATTTTTCTGATATCCTTGTTTTTAACTTTGTGGCTTGCTGGATCAAAGCAACTGAATTTGAAACAAGTTCAATGTTGTTTTCTCCAAGAGTTGACTCCTCTTTCTAGACTTGAGATACTGAACAGGTAACACCTGGCCTCATCCAAACCCTGCAGATGTATTTTTCACCCCTGAAATTTCATATTTCAACAAGAGACTATTCTCTTGGATGACACAGCAATGAGGAAGTGACCACGCACAGACTTTGTAAGGGAAGCCCAGTGTCACACCTTGATCCCATTTGATAGTGACTACAGTGCAAACAGTAGCCAGCTCCTTTCTAGTTGCCCACCATCTGTCAACCCAGAGCCTCTTTTTCTTTCCAGGGAGACTGAGTTCCACATCAGTGTGGTTGCAGTCCCTCTGCAGGGCTCCTCTAGGCCCTCCACTGTAATGTCCGTCCCTCAAGACTGGTGTCCACATTCTCTGGAATATTGATGCTCTGATTGCTGACAATGGTCTTCATTCTCACAGTAGATGTAGCAAAGAAAATGGAAAAAAGGCTTAAC